TGAATTAAAACTGTCATATGGAACTTTTTTCCAAAAAAAAAAAAAAGAAGAGGGAAACAGAAACCAACAAAAAAAAAGGCAAAAGGCTGATATGACTGTTTAATTCCCAAACACCTCCACCCCTCCCCCGGGGGAAGTTAAAATGTTTTTATCGTTGTTCTTTTTTTTTTCCAGCAAAATTCTCTTCAGTGAATCCTTGAGGAGAGCAGTGTTAGAATTAGTGGCAACAGATTTTAGGCAAAACCAACTCACATCCAAATTCCTAGCATCATAATAACATCACAAAGCCTTTCAATAAGCATTTTATCTTAAATATAACCTTTAGTATCTCATAATTCACAAAGTTACAGTTTTAAATTGATGGGGTCCAAAATATAAAGGCAGAATACGAATAGCAATCATTTTCCTAAAATTAATAAGAAATATGAACAGACAAATAATAAATTATAAAGCATTTCTTATTCTTTATTGACAAGGTAATAAGTAAATTTACAAAACATTTTGTAATTTGAATTATTTTCAAATAAACTCACCATCCTTTCTCATCTCCGGTAATAACCCCGAAGCATGTCTCTCGACAATCTTCAGGTATCCGTCAACCTCGTGATCGGAGACATTAAACAAGACAATCGAGCCATACTGGAAAACTACCATGTAACAACAGTCGCTGCCACTTAAGTTAGCACCTAGAGCCTGAAAGCATAACACATAAAAATTATATTAGAGAAAATGCGACAACTAAGTAACATCGAAATTTCTTAAATTCATATTATTTAAGGAACAACAGCAACTACCCCTCAATCGAAAAACTTCCCAACCAAAAAAAAATGAAAAACCTAAAACAAACCTGCAGACAGGAACAAGCATGGAAAAGAGTATAATAGCGAAAAGAAAAGGGAAAACACAGACCAAAAAAGTTTTAACCAATGCCTTTGAACAGAACCACATCAATAAATCAACTATGACTCTACCATTCTCCACTCAAATACTAGACTTGATTCGCATGGCCCGGGGCTCCAACCTGTGACACTAAGTCAGAAGTCCTTCAACCTTTGTCAATTGAACTAAGCCCTGAGGGGCCTTGATTGCAAACTAGTTGGGCTGGTTATACAGATGCTCTATATCCATTTTGTTGTATTCGGATCCATTGCATTGGACTACTTACAATAAATTAGTCTCTTAAGGCAAATCAGGAGTTCTCTAGAACTATCTAAAATCTCACATTCATTCCTACACTGACATGCAACTCTTTTAACCAGATGACAAAGATTCCTAGTATATAACAAAAAAAATTCAAATGAGGCAGAGGTGGTCAATCAAGTGAATTCATGTTCAGCAGGGGTCAATGCTCTACCCACGAAAACAGATAGAAAAGCCAGTTGTCAACCAACATCAGGACTATTCAAAATTAGAATCTGATGAGGAATAGACATATCTCTTTCAGAATCTAACGACAAACGAAATGGTGTGTGAACCAACTAGCATATGCCAGGTTGCAAAATTGCAATAACAAAATGATCTCAACTACAAACCGAGGGAATCATTCACATCATACATGCAATGGCAAGTAAATCAATTAGACATATAAGTGCTTCTCTGTAACCATGACAATCTTTTTTTTTTTGAATTGGTAACTATTGTATATATAATAAAAATCAGTACATAGGTTGCACTGAAAACCAAATTTACATAGAGAGAATTTATAGATATTCTAATTTGAGACCTAGCAGGATCCTAGTATGTCTATGATTGTCAATGTATCTTCTGTGTACATCTGTTTGCACCAAAAACAAAATAGAAGAATACAATTGAGTTTGATCTTCTGCAGTGAATTGCTTCTGTCTTCAAAACATCTAGTATTCCTTTCCCTCCAGATTGTCCACCAAATACATGCCGGAACGGTTCTCCATCTATCTCTGCTCGTTGCTTCAGCTCCAGCTTCCTCCCAGCTATAAATGACATCTTTA